GAGTTTATGACGTAAAGCATGTGTGAATAGTTTATTTTGACGATAAAAATTTATGCAAATATATTAATCACTAGATAAGATTTAATAATGTAAAAAATATATTTTGAGTTCATTTCGATTTCGTTAGTTTGTAGGAGCGAATTTAAGTTCTTCTTTAATATTGGCGGATAAAAATATTAAGTGAGTAATCTGTTAAAATATAGACTATCACCAGACATTAAAACAGTCCAATTAAGGTGTATGGTTCGTCAGATTTGTTGCGTCAGGTCGGAGTTTTACAAGGCCAGACCGGACGGGGGACATTGTCCTGGAGTCGACATCGCGAGTCGTTCAAGGTCACTATGTTTGTGGTCTGCCCGTTCCACCTCTCGTTTTAGTGGATCTGTCCGAAACAAAGATGGTTATAACTTTTATAGAAAGATTCTTGCATAGTCTAATGTACATCCGAAGTATAAGGTTCACTGTTGGAAAAGACTGTTTTTAGACATAACATAAAACGTAACTTGATGTTGCAGTCAGTGAATTTATTACTTACGTCCGATAATATTATCTAAGTTGTTTACAGGTGTAAATATGTGTATATATCTTGCTGTTAATAAATGATGTGGATTATTCGAAATGTTTAATTTCATTAATGTCATCAATCAATTTACAAAAAATAAAATTTTTGATGACATATTTGTTTATAGCGACTCATCAAACAATTGTACATTAAAGGTCAATGCTCTAAATCATTTAATAAATTTTATTTTAATAAAGAATTATAAATTTGGGAAATTTTTTCAAATGGATTTGTATATTTCAATGGAATTGAAAATTTAAATATAATTTAATTTTATTCTAAATTGACTACTAAGAGAAAAGTATTTAGTGATCAAATATTCGGCATGATCAATAAATATTAAAAACAGAAAATGTTTTTGTGTAATTAATATGAATAATTTTATTGAAATTTAATTTTGAATAATTAATTCTTGTTTTATTTTGATTACATAATTAAAGATTTATAAAGCAATTTTATCTCAGCACAATTGGCCTACTACTAAGTGTATAGCAATTTGAAGTTATCTAATAATAGAAATTTTCATCAGCATATTTTAAATAAGTATTTTTTTTGTTTGTTTCTGATTTATTATGTCACTTATAAATTCTCCCATACTATTTATATAAAGAATACATTTATCCATTATAAAAACTAGAATTTGAAAGTTCGTTTTTAAAATGAGTAAATATCAATTATTTAAGAAAAATTTTATTGTTAAAATTTAGAAATTTTGTAATTTTTAATAACGTTAACAGTCAACTCAGCACAAATTTATTAAACCGGGAGTTCAGATCTTGTCTGCGAATTCACATCTCAATCATGGAACGTCGACCTGTTTCACGTAAATATAGAGATCTCCTTCCTATTCCTGGTGTGTTGCCGGATGTTCTATACTGAGGCTGTCTGCCAACCACTCCGATTCGGTCAATCACTCTTCGTCAGAAAAGAAGAAACAGAATAGGACAAAACTGCAGCCAGTCTGATTCAATCGTCTGTTAATTCAGTGTTTACCAACAAAATAAAAAGGTTTTTAGGAAATTGGAAAAATAAAAAATAAATTTTTGAAACACAATAGAAATGGTAATATATAACTTTCTTTTTCATCACTACTTTATTTGCATTTTAATATACAAAGTTATCACTTGCAATAGATGTAATAAAGGAATTTGTATTAACATTAATATTTATAATATTATCTTGGCATTAGTTACATTGTATAAAACACTTTTTATAGTGTTGGCAATAGAAACACGCGAACAATCTTGGAAATTAGATTAAAATATTTTCATATACGAAAAAAGAGAAAATCTAAGTTCACAAGCATATTTTAATGACGAAAACAGTTTTTGGTTGGTATCCATTCATGTCGCTATTTGATTGAAGTTTTGAATCATTTAGTCAACAATGTTATAACTGTATGATATCTTACTTTTTATTTTATTTATTTACTTTTTTGCATTTGAATAATAAAATATATAGTTTATATAATATTGCATTTTCAGTATTTTTGAATACTGTGAAGTTAATTTTTTCCTTTATCTTAATCACCACAACCAACCTATTTCTCAGAAAGTTGGTTTCATCATTAGAATAATTCTCTTTCATTTTATATAAAATATTTTTTACCTTTAAATATCATATATTTCATAATAATTTTCGAATAATTCGAAAGATAAAAATAGATTATTCTGTACAAGATTGGATTTTGAAATAACCATTACTACGAGTTAAATGATGTAAGACAAGATTTATAAATATAAATAAATTCATTATCATCAGTTATTGTAATGGTAGCTGCTGGAATATAATTTTCCTTGTAATTTTCAGGAGATTTTTCTTGGAAATAATGTTTAGAAATTTATAATCGGAAATCGTCTTTTTGCTCGCACCATTTGTCCATTTGACCATCTGTGTTTATAAAGCGAAACATTTGTAAGAGGTCAGTGCACGTGAAAGAAGTGGTCTGCCAACATTCCACACTACTACCACCCGTTTGTGATAACTATGGTTGTTCATCAAAATCGGCGAGTCATGTTCAAGAAAATCAATATTTGAACTTGGTTTCAATTTTTTATTCTTAATATTTTGGAAGAAGAACGAAACAATAAAAATGATTTTGAACATATCTTTTAATTACTAATTTGTCTTATTTTATAAAATAAATTAAACTGAATAAGAAACGAGTAATTTATTTATTATTTAAGATATTTACATTTTTGTTTCGTTTGTCGATAGATTAGAATTTTTAAGTTTTTAAACGGAAAAAATTTGTTTAAAAAATCTTTCACGTTATGCAAATAAAATGAAATCGACTTACATAGAAATCAATTCTCTGGTCGATTATTTAACCGACATTAAAAAGTACACTATCTTCAGAGTATAAATGAAGCTCTTACTGTTCCAATAAATGTTCAGTTATCATGTTTTTTCGGTAGGACTCTAAAGCCATTATCACGATCAGAGAGGAATTCGGTTCTAATGTGTGTGATAGTGAGATGTAGCAGGCAGAACAACAAGGAAAAGACTCTGTGTCGACATTAGGTGAGATCAGATGGCAGTGGCAGCGAAGAGATTAATGACTATGGGTTTGACCACCCGAGAAATTTGAGCAAAATAGCCATGTATCTAACCTGGTTCTATTTTCTTCCGTCAGAGTGCGCAGTGATCGATCAGAAGCTTTCCAACTGTACCGAGTGCATTTGGCTTTCCTTTCTCTGCATCTGGTCGATACTATGAGAAAAAGGCCGCACAGCCAGATGAATATTATGAATGTCTTTGTAATAAAAAGAGAGGTACGAATAGCGACATAACGTCTGCATTTGACAGTTCTCACTACTTTCTTTATCTAAGACCGAAAATAATATATCATCGTCTTTGAGAATCCGAGGGTTGATCACGAACGAAACTCGTTCCGTCATTAAAACCGATGCATCTAATAAGTATTAGCATAACATTGGATATCGGTCGTGATGTGTGAAGGTATTGGGTCCTATTTATCAAAACTGTCAGCGAGTTGGACGTTTATTTGCATAACTTGCTACGCTTTTCTTTCAGATAGAACAAATTTTGAAGTCAAAATTAAGATACGCTATATAAAAGTTTAACTTAAAATCATTTGTAATAAAAAAATATAGAGGTTATTTTGCATATTATCATAATATAAATATATTATATTATTAAATTTATTTGTTCCTGCTTCAGTACGACTTCCGATGACAGTGTAGGTTACACGTGGATTATCTCAAGAAATAATTGCATATTAAGAAAATAATGTCGGAACAAGCAATTATCGAAAGTTTCCAATAACTTCCTTACTGTATTATAATAAACGTATTTCAATCGGTGATTTTTTTTTCTTCAAAATTTAGCTAAATATGTTATAATGATGTTTTATTCTCGATACAAGTTCAGTTTAGCTTTTGGATATACAAATTAACGAAATTTAAGATATTAATATTTTAATATTATGCTTAATTAAGATCTTTATCGAAAGTGAATAGGCTACCGTGTTTGTTTATTTGTACGTATGCATGTATGTATGTATAATGCACTGTTAAGTAATCATAAATATTGTTATTACAAATATTTAAACATTTTATATTGAATAATGTATTTAAATTANTTTATAAGAAATTATGGATTTTCTTTTAAAAAATAATATATATTTGCTCTAATTTTATTAATGTAAAAAAGAATAAATATTGATATTCACATACTTACATTTTCCAATTTTTAACATCTAATCCATCTTTCAGAAAGTGTGTTCTAATTACAGTCTCATTACTTGCTTTAAATGCAGACTCGAATGATTCTTGTTTATGTTAAGTGAAGACAAAATATTTTGTATGGTATCTATTGAAAAAAATTTAGAAATATAAAAACTCTTCAGAAAAATAAAAACTTCTAGTAGTAACTGCAACTAGAGAATTAAAATAATACTGTATAATTATTCTGTTTATTTGCAAATATTTTAAAGTTTCTGCCCATTTTATTGAAATATAGCATGTATTTTTATAAGAAATTTCAAAATTCTAATTAGCATCACATTAGCTTCAAGTGAAGAAATTTATTATTATTAAAAGATTTAATGTCTAAATATAATACTTCTTATGTTTTACTATTTACAATTAAAAGGTTTTGAAAAAGAAGAAAAATTATAATTAAATAGAGACTTACAGCATTAATAATTTTTTACGAGAAAGTTTTGTATATTGGAGGATGATAGAAGTGTACTAGAGATAAAACAATATATATTTAAAAAATAGAACTTACCGGGAATATGAAAGAAGAGGTTTAGAGTCCGGGAAGGTAAGTTTAATAAAAGAGTGAATAGGCATTGCTCCTTGTTTCAGTATCGCGGGAGTAGAGTTGGTTTGGCATCGTCATAGAGCGCCGCCTGGAGGGACGCCAGCGTTAACCAATAGCGAATGGAGACGATTCGACGCAGTCCCGCAAGCAGCGAGGCTCCACCCACGGCAAAACACAACGTAGCCAAGCTTTGGGTCGTGTGGACTCGCTGCTTCCTGCGATCACAACCCATAGGAATATTCTGCTTCGGACCGGGAAATATTATATACGATCGATAATCAGTATTACGAACAAATTTCTGCCAGTGAAAAGTTGACGTCCGTAGACTATCGACAGCCATTACGGTGGAGAGAAGTGTATTATGACGACGTCCACCATGTCGTGTCCAGCCTACTGGAGGTCGGCGTACGTTCCTCTCTAGTTGTGTGCCACTATCGATCCGACCAACGCCAGCTCCAAACGACGACGTACTTCTGCCTGCTTGTCTCCCCGGAGGACGGCAAATCGGGTCCCCCTCTCTGTCGTCCCCTTCGTCTCGTTCGCCTTTTTATCCCACGGAATCTAATGGTGATGGTGGTAGTGTGTGGCCTTGTGTGGTTTTCTATGTGACGACGTTATTGTGGATAAAAGCTCTGTCGGTGTATCTTGGAGTGCGCGTTGTATATATCACGGATCGCCAGTTTTGCATTTAATATTCTTGTTTCTTTATATTTCTGTATATTTGATATATATTGTGTGTGTTGGTGTGTTGGACAACGAGTGTGCTGAATGCATCTTTTCATCTTCCATGGTGCTGGCCAGCATTGACAGCACGGAGTCCGAGCAGCGCAGGAGGCAGCCGTCCATGGATGCCCCCGAGAACACGGTGCTGCTAGCCAAGCAGGCGGACTGGACAAAGGGAGAACAACAGCTTTACTACCTGGACAGCAGTAGGTTGAAACGTGAGTACATTTCTTTCCTATTTCGTTACATTTCATTTATTCTAACGGCTATACGGAAATGCCCAACCGATGTAGATAAGTGTGGGGGTAAAACTCATCAGCTGTTGTAGTCGTGTGCTAGGGGAGGGGGCGTTTGCTAAACGCACGTGATACTATGTTTTCTTCTTTTACTTTAGCACCCAACATTTGCCAAACTTATTTTTATCCGTTAATCTCACCATTAAAGATGACTTATTTTGAAATCCAATCGAAAACACGATAGGACATTGAGGCGTAGTAACAACAATAATGGCGTCATTGGACTCTGAGACCAGGCTCACTTGTCGATTTTGATTTGTGTCCAGATGATTATATTAATTAATATCGCGTTAATTAATCTTCCAAGGGTAAATCGAGAGACGGACAATGACGGTTTCTATTTTTAACTAACGCGCCCGACCTTTATACTTTAATAATATTTCGTATAAAAAGTGCAAACTTTCGTACGAAAGAGTTATATTTGGCCCATGCCAATTTATTCCACCATTCTTACGTATTAATACGTCTGATTGATAGGCAATGTTTATGCTATTATATCAAGCGTTCTCGGGGCGACTGGCGTAGCATCTGGTGCGCCATGTCTATCCGCGTGACGTCACAACCGCTGTAAACACTGCTGCGTCGTTGTTCGTTTACCCCGCGCACGTCACAGACTGCAGACGGTCTTCCTACGTCACCAGTGACGTTGCTATCAGTGTTTTTCGGGCGACGGGAGGTGAAGACAGCGGTTTCGAAAGTTGATGTCCGTGGTCTATCGATTCTCTGGGATGCCCTCTCCGAGATGCTGGCCTAGATCCACTGTAATCCCTCGTTTTGACGTCGTACCGACTCGGATAGCCTGGTGGGTTACGTAATCCTCACTTCATCTACCTGGCTAGACGTTTCTGTTAATCGGACATCTTCTAAATTGATATATACAATTTTATACTTCACTATTTCGGTTTTTCTTAATAACCAATGAAGATAAGCTTTGAAAATAAGTTTCACAATCACGTTTTTAACAAATTTATAAGTATGGATAGGCCAGTGACTCATCCGACGGTATTGACAACCGATAACTTTTATGTACTGTACATTCTTTCTTCTCAGTTTACATTACATGCACTCTTAAGTGAGATTTCGTGATAATTACATAGATTTGAAATAAAATTCTTATATTTTCTCAGTATAGAATTCTTTCACTTATAACATTTCAGTAGGAAGTGCCATGTTTGTCAACGTTAAACAGCGGTGAATTTTATATAATGGTGAATGCTACACGATATCGGATACCTTTAAATTATTTCGAAAATTCTATTTAAATATGTTTAATAAAGTGCGGGGAATAATTATGAACTTGTGATTTGCACGGTTTCCTTCTTGAACACCGAAACTCTAGTTTATCGATTATTACAAGTTTATTTGTTCCGTTACCAAAACAAGATTGCGTCATTGGAGCTATGATGACGTCTGAAATATACAGTCATAAAATATTTTATTTCAACACATTGAAGGAATATTTTTAAGATCGATACGGCCACGGTTTCACACTTATTTTAAATTTGTTAGATGAGACTGGCTGATCTTCCAAGGTCAAAGTATCTAACGGTATCTGAAAGTACAGGTGGTGCTTCATGTCACATGATCAAAGACTAGTCACGCTGGCGTCGTCTTATATTTGTAGCGCCGTTTACCTATACGCAGCTGAGAGCTTTTCTATACAGGTGATGAATGTAGTGGGACATGCCGAGAATAATGAAACTTAATCGAATGAATGAATTTATCAAAATCTGTTTGTAGTTGGCCTCTTTAAATTTAGAAATATGAGACATACGCGTAATAAATTTGTCTCGGTGACAAAATCTAAAATGTTTCTATAATATTTTTTTCCTTACAGAATTTCCGTCTCATTAATTATTTTTCTGTAAATGAATACGTTTTTTTAGCGTTATCGCTTAAAATTGCTTCTGTTACTTTGTAGTTTCATATTAATGAAGAAGAATTTCATATTCCGAATGTCGTATATAACTTATTATTCCTGTTTTAATAATTACTTACTTGATTACAATTTATGATTTTGTTGTGTTTTATTTTTGATTTTGCCGGTATAATTGTGACATTTCTAGTATTGTGAGTCAGTTCTATACCTTCCCTGCTGTAATGCTATAAGAGAGACGATGATGGTTACGGGGGAAAAAAACCTTTCGTCTGTCTGCCATCGACCCGTCAGCCAACAGCAATAGACTAGTTGGCGTGATAAAGTCCAGACAGACGGCGGATGTGGTCAGTTAATGGCCGGAGGGTGGAATGACCATCGAAGACAATAGTTAACACTGTACTTTGGGATTCCCTACCGCTAATTTAATGCGCATAGTTCGGTAATATAAAATGCGGTTAAACAATTCGTACGTATTAATTTGCATAATTATGCATATAAGTATAATTAAATTTATAATGATTTCGAATTAGTTATCAAGTTAGAGCTTTAAGAGCATTGCCGGATTGATGACTGGACTCTTCTTGTGCGAAGACTACAAGAGAAACATCAGTCAACTTGATCTAAATGATATCTAAAAGCAATGGCGCATATATTCTATTGTCGGAAATTATAATTTTGGATTAATTTGCTGTATATGTTGCTCGAAGTATGTTGATGGCCGGTTGCATAATAACGAAACTTGTGTACGAGGATAATTATATAGTAACTAGGCATGAAGTTTATCTTAATAAATGGATATAGCATTATGCCAATTGAATTAATATGGTAGTTTAAATGAAATAAATAGATATTCAGGACTCTTGCGGTTTATCTTGATAGCATTTCTCATAACTTTACATTATTGAAATGTTTTCGTTTTTCATTCAAAATTCTAAAAATTCTTTGTAGCTTTATTGGAAATTCTCAGCTGGTACCTCGAATTTGCCAAAATATTTAAATTTGGCAAATAAAATTGAACATTTTTCATGAATATCTGTATATTATTNAATTATTAATATTACTGTACTTATTTATTAAATATATTTTATCAAAGGGAGTTTATTACCTGTAATATAATTTTTGCAGTATTTCTAAAGGATTTGTTTACCGTTATAGGCCATTCATCTAGCTTCATTTTAAAAATTATCTTTTATCTGTTTCTAAGTTCCGCTAGAATTCCTTTACTATCTCCCGTACAAATTCTTGTCCACACATTTTGTCGATTAGTCACTCCTGTACCACAGTTTTTAAGGGTCTCTTATCCAAGTTAAATATTTACTCTGATTTTCGAGTTATTACCCTAAACTATTTATTTTTCAGCAATAAAAATCCCAAATTCTATTCCATTGACTCTTATTATAGATTTTTCAAGGGAATCCAAGACTTAACATAAGATTTCTATTTATTTTATCTAATGTAAATTAAAAACCGAATGAATGGTAATGATCTTTATCAAGAACCAATATCGTCAATTTGTTTTTCAAGTCTCATATAACTAAGTTTATTTTTGATATGGTTCTTAGGCTTTTGTTTTCTGTCATTTGACAAAGAATAAGTCAATGATAGTCAATGAAATTTACGTAACACTGAAAAATCATTAAAAGTTGTTGAGAAAAAAATTGAATATGATTTATCTGGTATAACTAGAACTAGATTTTTACAGTGATTATCTCAATAATATTTACTTTTATTTGAAAATTTTTAATACTTTTCGATCACTGGAATCTATTGCACATTCAGATGTCTATCACGTATAACTGACAAACTTCTGAACTTTTGTTTTTTTTAAATCATACAAATTAGTTGATTTTTTTAAAATGCGATAAAAGACTCTCTCTTTAATAGTTATTCCAGTTTTATTATATACCGGTACTTTAGTTTTTGATTGAAATTTTGACATTAATTTCTTTCATGGAAATTACATTGAAACATTCATATAAATGATTGCAAGAACCAAGAATATCCTTTTCAGAAATTTTATTAGAACTTATTTTTTAATGTTTTTTACAGTTAAGATTGGTAAAGTTACAGTAATCTTTCCATTTACGCGAATAATTGGTTCCACAAAAACGGCCCGTGAAATCATGCAATCAGCATGAAAATCATGAAAAGCTGTTTAAAATAGGGATATATTCCATATTTTCAAATACAATATTTTACTCTTACTGCGGTAGAAAAGTTTTAAATGACTTTTTTTTTAATATACGTCTATATAAGAGATTGATTATCTAAAAATTTTTAAATAAAATTTTCAACCCTGTAAAAATCAATTCGCGTAAATGGGACAGTTACTGTATTTTGAAATTGAGAATTTCCCCTCATTGTAAGTTCACTTGGACACTTTAACAAGATAATTTTTAATTAGTTTTTAAATACATAATATAAGGCTAAGCTGGAATGAATTGCACAAGTTATCATAGGATTTGGTTTTATCAATTTAATATTAAAATATTAACATATTTTCAGCATCTTGCTTTCACCGATATGTCGTATCTCGCTTGAGTTATGCTGAAATCGCTTTACTTCGTAACATTTATAACCACATTTCGGTTATGAATTTATATCGTTTTCGACGTTAAGCAAAAAATGAAAGAAAACCGACTTGATATAGGATCTTGAGGCAATTTTTGATAAATTTGTTTTCTGGTGAATTATTTGAATCCTTTTGTGTAATGCACTATGTAGCCATATAACGTAGTAATACAGAATGTTGTAATGCGCCGAATACAAGCTGATGTAAAATCGAAATGTAAATAAATGTACCGAAATTAAGATAATCTTGAAATGTGTTATTTCTCCATTTTTTAAAAAGATATTTTATGCTTTTAGACACGTACATATAAATAATTTAGAAACTTAAACTGCTACGTTTAAGAAACCATTTTCAGCATGGAAAGGACATTCTAAGTTCATAGTTAAATAATTAACTTAGAAATGCAAGAAAACTGTTCGAAATTTAAATTAAAGGAACTGCTATCTATTTCGAATGGATGTATTCCTTTGA